AGTTAAAGCTCACTATTCTATACCTGTACACAATACTTTTGCTTTTCAGCTTCAGGCAACTGTGCCAGGATTCATCTGATGGCAGCTATGGACATAAAGTCTTTCATGCAGCTCTTTAATCTGCAAGCTGCCCCATTCTACTATTTGTTTTGTGGGCTTGTTTGTGTTACTGTTGTCCGCCCATCAGTTGGACTGCTTTTGAATGTCCTAATTGTCTCTAAATAATAGAATAGTGTGTCCTCAAGTGAGCGAGAAAAAATAAAATCCTAATATTATAATGCATGGAACATAAAGGTACAGCCCCTAAATTGAGTTTAAAATATGATCACATTAGTGATCACACATGTATATATCTTGTATAAAAGTACATCATTGGAAAAAAAAGTACAGTATATATTTGTATTGTGCTGGGTGTCCCAAACCTTGCTCCAATTCAGGTCTGGTGTACAGATTTTTTGCAGGGATGATCTATTGTGCACACACCTTTGCCCCTGTTCAAATGAGTCACAAAAGCCAATAATTTGGAGGAATATTCCAGCCCCCTTTCTATAAAAGGATGGGTTCATAGCAGCCATATTATCAATGGGTGTTGACATTGTTAGTGAGAGCTGCAGGTGATACTGCTTTTTTAATTTTCTTAACTTCGGCAAGTCCCCAATGGCAGTGCCAGGCTTTATATGCTACCATTTGTTTGACAATAGCTTGCATATTAGCTCTACAAATAGCTGGGATTGAATAAGATTTGGCCCCCATAGACTTCGATTTTTTTTCATTACAAACTTCTAACTTCAAGCAAGGTTTACAACCAAACCCAGGCTCATCCCTAGTGCCCAGCACTGAATGTAGCAACAACTGCGTTTCACTATGCTTTTCAATGGAATGTTTTATGAAACATCACACAACAGAACCAGATTAGTTATGACAAAGAAATAAACCACAGAAGAGGATGTGAGAGTTTGCAAGGTAGCATGGATGCCAAGCATATTTTCACCATTTCTGATGCAAACAAACTTCCTCTGATTTTTAGAATGAGTGTGTTGACATATTGTGTTTTTTTTTACTTGCAAAGAAAGTAATAATTCAGCTGTAAGGTATAGCCCTGATATCATATACAGATGGATATACAGACATTCAGTAAGCATAACTAATGTATAATATTAGTAAGAAGTGCTATATTTTACTCTTTAACCTGAGTCTGTATTTATTGTATTACATCATTTGTTTTTATATTTCAAGTATTCATAATGCAAATAATAGAAGTAATTTCATTGAGTTGTACCCTACCTTGTTGAAGCTGACATGTAAGAGAACCTGGATATTTTATTTTTCCAGAAAACAAAAGAAGTTCAGTTGTAGTGAGTGCAACTTTCAAAAGAGGCATAAAGTGGTCTGGCCCGGATTTATTTATGTAATAAAAGTCAAGTGTGTGCTTGCCACCATTGAAAAGAATAAATCCATTTCATGTCGGCAAAACTGCTGATTTTTCTGTACAGAAAGATTCCTATTGTGAATTAAAGGCTATTGATAAAGTCATCACGGATAAACTAACCCCTGGGAATATGCTCTTTATTACTCACAATGCAAACCTGTTTTTTTTTTCTTTGCCAAGCCAAGGAGTAATCTGGGCAAAACAAAAAAAAATGAACACAGCTATTCTTTTATATTTGTGTTGTAGCTCAGAAGTTTTGCTTGAGTCAGCTAAGTTGAAAAGCAGTGCTAGAACAAGAGTTCATGCCCAGAAGTTCAAAAGATGAAAGCACAATAGTTCACATTGTCAGAAAAAATCCCATTTGGGACATTGACTTTTTTTTCTATGATTTCCTCTGAAACATCTGTTTTATAGCCCCTATAGACCATGCTTAAGATATTACAGCATCCTCCTCTCTAACAAAATTACTGTACACATTGGCAGAACACATGCACTATGTTATATTGATGAAAACCAGTGAAAAGTATAAGACCGTCAAAATGTAGCTTTTTCCCCCTTTCACTAGATATGTATGCTAGGTATGATACAAAATCCTAAATCCATTTTAAATATGGTTACATTTATTAATAAAATACAATTTAAAAACAACATGCTGGCATTATGAAAGTATAGTAAGAATGTATTAATGTAACATAAAAATGTTCATAAATGCTTATTATCCATATATCAAACTATAAGAAGAATCAAACTATAAGGAAAATTAACAATGCACTACCAGGTTAGTTCCATGTTGCAAGATGGCGACAATTCCAAACTGTTAACATTGTTACACACACTTAAATGAATTTCTTACTTATACTTCCATTCTTGGAGTGCCAAAAGGTCCAATAAACTCTAAAAAGAAGAAGGAACAACTCCCAGTGGAAGGGTTCCCAGTGCAAATGATGTGCATGCGTTAGAAGTATTTCACTCTTGGCTGATGAGTAGACTCATTGATGGCCATTGACCTCTGATGTAGCTGTTTTCTAAGGTGGCAAACAATGCTTCTTAGAATATTTTGCTCTCTCTATCAAAACCAGGAAGTATATATATTGTAGTTGCTGACAGTCTACTTATATGTGGTCTAAAACCCAAAAAGTCAGAAGTTTTCATTCATCTTTTCACACATAGTGGCGTTGTTTTTGGGATTAGTGTTAAAGCACTCTGTACTTTCAGCATATATACAAAGTAACAATGATTATAGTGCTCACCCCTTACACTACAATTTTAGTTGAAATATTTCACAACACATCCTTACAATAAATCTCTGTTGCCTTTTTTCTCTAACATGCCTTTTAAAGTCTCTTGCAAAACAACATCCACAGTTTACAGTCTTACTTTATGTTGCAGGAGCCTCTCGTTCCCAAATCCGAAACAATTCAATGTCATCCTTTTGCACAGTATTCTGCTAAAGAACTCTTACTGATGCTCTCCTGAAACTTCCTACTGTTCCACAGTCGAACTTGAACCCCTTCTTGGGTGTAGGTTCAGTAACATTTCATTTCTTGGGATATGAATCACTGAAACAAGATAAAAGCAACTTTCTGTTGCATTGTGGTTTGTACAAAAGATAAATGTATTTGAAAATGCATTCCGAAAAATCATTTCTTGGTACTTCTTACATCCACTTTAACTCATAGTCCTTTCAGTGACTGAACTGATAATAAACCTGTATTTCAAGAGTCACTGAAAATCACTATGAAATATAACAGTGTTCAACCTGATATTTAGAGAGGGTTGTATACATTCTAGAATATATTTGTCTCCTTCAAAATATACAGTAGGAGGACAGGAGAACAATTAGAAAGTTACATGTTTGCATTGATGAATATGCTAGAAATATATATAGGAGTTTAAAGATCCACAGTGTCTAGATCCATTTTGCTGAAAAATTTTGCTTGTGATCCAAAGTATTTAGAGTTTATTGTGTTGAACATGTGATGAAAGACTAGAGGAGAATGGTGTACTACAAACCATCTCTAAAAAAAAGAGGGTCAGTGGGTTTATAGAATGAAAACATTTCTCCCTAGAGCCCATTACAATTTGATTTGAGAGGGTGGGCATAGAAATAAAAGGATAGGAAAGACTTTGACTAATAGACAAGATTTCTGAAGAAGAGTGCAGGCTGTACTCAACATATGTTAAAAGGGCCTACAAATTGTCTTTTAAAAGGGTCTTTTAAAGTAACTTGATGTATTTAATGCAGCTCATTTGAGTGTGGTTACATGTGGTGATGGCAGCCTGACTGAGTGAACAGAAGGAGTGCTGCACGGTGGTGATTTCTGGGGATTATATGAAATGTAGTACCAAGCAATGGTTTTGTTAGTGTAACTTATTTATCAATCTGCTACAAAAGAGTAGGCAGTTTTTTTTTTCTATAAACAATTTTTTGATGTCCCATCACAAGTATGAACAAGGACCACAAAAATGTTTTCATATGCGATGATTATCATGTTACAGGTAGACCAGCTAGGAAAAGGAGAGATGGCTTATGCTGGAAAAGGAGATGACACTCGGATCTCAGTTAAGCATAACACAACTAGGAGAAACAAGCTACATGACAGGGTAAAGAAAAGAAAAAACACTGCAATGTGCATACAACATGCAGTAGCAATGAAGTTGCTGTAGTAGAATGAAGGTATTATAAAATCGACTCTGCCACCTTGTACTGAACCTATAACCAGGAAGGAGTTGAGTGCTGCCATTTGAATGGCAGATAGACTTGGGAAAGCATGGGGATGAGGTGTTCAAAAGTGGACTGTGCAGAGATTAGGACATTGGATTGCTTCTGACTCAAGAATGAGAGGTTTCTGCAACATAAAGTGAGATTGTAACTGAGGATGTGGAGCTGTGTGAAAGACTTTGGGGTTATACTGGATAAAAGAGTCCACAGCAAAGTACATTGTAAATACATTTTGTTTAAATTATGCAACTAACATTATGGAATGGTACCACAGGAGGAGAGTGCTATAACGATTGATGTTGTGATTTAAATAAACGGGGCATCATAGCGTGCCACAGTCAAGCAATTATCTGAGAGTTAAAGAAATCTATATATTGTTAAATGGTAAGCGTTAAAAAAAAATGACGTAAAACAGACAGAAAGGTTATTAATCTAGAAAGCAGAAAGTCTCTGCATGAGACATGGTGCTTATAAAATCACTACTTCTAAAAATATATATTAGCTTTCTCTATGATCCTGGAACCAATTCTCTTTAGACTACATAGTTTTTATTGTTTAAAAAATGGGTATTTTCTCTTGCCTCTGATAAGTTCTTATACACAGTCCCACATAAGCATTCCTCCAATGAGCCCTATAGTTACTTGTCTCAGGGACAATATATAATAAACTTTAACTCACAATTACAAAAATTCTTACTTTAAAATTCATAATTTGCACTTTCTTTCAAATTAGGATTTGCTCTATAATATTTTAAGTACAGATTCACATTAACCACTTCCCAACCACCCTATAGCAGAAGTACTGCTACATGGTGGCAGGATTGTGCAAAATCATGTATATATAAATGTGATTTTGTATTTCCGGGGTAAGGGGCACGCGCACTCCCTACCTGCACCACTATTGGCTCCTTGGCATGTCGATCACCGGGTCTCAGCTGCTAACTCTCAGCCGGGACTCAGAGATCTTCAGTGGAGCTGACAGGGGAGGGGTATGTACACAATACAGATCTCTCCCCTGTGAGCATGAACAGGCAGCTTTGTGTTGCTCTGCACAGCACAGCAATACAAAGCAGCTTGTGTACACAGTAAAAATACACACAGCATACAGCTAACCCTTTGATTGCCCCAGATGTTAACCCTTTCCTGCCCAGTGCCATTAGTGCAGTGTCAGTGCTTTTTATTAGCACTGATCACTGTATTAGTGTCACTGGGGATGTCAGTGGCAGTTAGTCAGTTCCCCCCTAGTGTCAGAATGTCTGCCGCAGTCCCGCAATAAGTCGTTGATCACTGACATTACTAGTAAAAATAAATAAATAAATATTCCAGTACATACCGCCATCTGTAGACGCTATAACTGTCATGCAAACCAATTAATTTACATGTATTGGGATTTTTTTTTTAACAAAGACATGTAGGAGAATACATTTTGGCCTGAATTTATGATGAAAATTGATTTTTAAAATTGTTTTATTGGACATGTTTAATAGCAAAATGTCAAAAGTATTTTGTTTCTTTTTTCAAAATTGTCAGTCTTTTTTATTTATAGCACAAAAAATAAACATGCACAGGTGATTAAATACCACCAAAAGAAAGCTCTATTTGTGGGGAAAAAAGAACATAAATTTAAGTTATGTACAATGTTGCATGACCGCGCAATTGTCAGTTAAAATAACGCAGCACCATATCGCAAAAAAATGGCCTGGTCAGGAAGGGAGGTAAATCCTCTGGAGGGCAAGTGGTTAATAGCAAAATTACACACAATTAGAGAGAAACATTTTAGATACAATTTTCTAAAAAGGGGAAAAAAACAACATGAAATTGAATTAAATTAGATAAAAACTGATACAGCATGGAAAACGCAAAAATTATAGTACTTTATGATGGGCGATTTTTAATCAATCAGTGATAACAAAAGGAATTCCTGTGTATCAACAGTTTTAAGCCATTTGAAAATGATATATTGACATCATTAACTGACAGGTCAATTATCATTCTGGCACAGATTGTATAAAGAAAAATGTTACAGATGCGAATGTAAAAGGATCAGTGTTTAAATAATACATTTTTCATTTTTTTTTCCTTTCTCAATAGCTCAAGTCAGGAGGATCGATTGTGCATAAGAAGACTTTAAATTTAAGATTCTCTGACAAGTATATAAAAAAATTCAATATTAGAACAAGCATAATCCCCTGAATTGCTTGGAATGATGAGTTTTTCAAACAGTTCTTTCCAAAGTTTTGTGCTTGACTTGGGAAAATATATAACCTTTGCTGAAGCTAGAATGAAGAACTGATGGAAACAAATTTTTTTACTTTCAATTTAGCAAAAACAGAGTAGTCAGTAGTAGCAGACTGAATACTTCGGTTAAGCATTATCACTGATGGCAAAAAAAACAATGAAGATATATAGAAAAAAAAAAATCAATGAAAAGATTAAAGCTGAACTCCAGGCAAGTATGAAGGACACCCATACATGCAGTTATAAAATCATAAAAAAAAATAATAATATGAAATGTGTTTTACGTGCAACTAGTGTAAGTACTTGAACTTATTTTTATATTAAAGTGATCTTAAAGGCAGTGTTGTTTGTTTGAAAATAACAAACATATCATGCAGTGGTTTTACACAGAGCAGGCCGGATCCTCCTCTTCTACGGTCTGCCACTGGTGCTCTTGGTCCCTCCCTCCTGCCTAGTGCCCTCATGCCAAGCATCTTGCTATGGAGGCACCCAAGCATGCAAGCTTCCAAGCTACTTCTCTATGTGTCCAATCACAGACAGAGCTGTGGCTTGGCCCGCCACCAAAACTGTCCTCATTGGCCCACAGACTATGATTTACAGTAGCGGGAGCCAATGGCTACTGCTGCTGTCTCAGCCAATGAGGAGGGAGAGACCCAGGAGAGCCAAGGCTTTCATGCACATCACTAGATCAAGATAGGGCTCAGATACGTTTTAGGGGGGCTGCTGCGCACAGAAGGTTTTTTGTCTTCGTGCATAGAATCCATGAAGGTAAAAAAATCTTGAGCCTTTACAACAACTTTATAAATATTAAAATTAGTTTCCAAGGAAGCAGAGGGAACTGTTGTCCACTGTGCCCTTAGCAACCAGTGATGTCAGCTGGCCCCATTTATGTACTGGCTGGCACTCCCTGAGCAAGTAGTCAAAAGGGACAAGGATAGAAAGACATAATTGATTAACTATAGCCTCCTGCCTGTAATTCAGCAATAACATTGACCAAATATGTCCATGGCCATGATCACACCATGTCCATGTTAATGATGACCCCAAGGAGATCCCACCTCTTTTCTTACTTTTATTGGCGGGGCTGAAGCGTTGTCATTCTGTGATGATGGGATTGGACATGTCTGATGGTTGGTGAGATTAATTTCTTTTGGAGGGCATCAGGCATCACTCATCATGATTGGTGCAAATCTGCATCACTGAACAACATGACTGATCATGGATGTACCCCGTTGAGATTTCTTGTTTTATTAAAGGACTTTTTAAAATCTATGTAAGTATTTTTAGCTACTATTTTCTTTTTTTGTGAATGTGTAGGGGCACTAACATTTAATATTTAAGGTTAATATTTGTTTAATGTTTCACATTTGGCTCCCATTGACTTCAGCAAGGTATATATTTAACCTGCCTCAAACCAAACCCAGTTAACTTCATGCTTACTACTAAAGTATAATTGAAACCAGGCTCAAGATGACACTGACCCAATGCGGAGTACCCAAATTTCACATGGATGCAAATGTCTCCTTCTCCAGTACAGTTGAGCATTCCAAGTCTTCTCAGTCATACCAGCTTGCTAACAGAATTACAAAATGCATAACTACATGGTTGGTAAGGTTGAATAAAGACACCAGCCCATCCAATTCAAGTTGTGTATGTTTACAGTATTTGTTTATGCCACTACCATTTCCCGTATCCTTGTATATTGCTAAATGTTTTTAAATTATTGACACTTCCTGCTGACACCACCAACTGTGGAAGGGAGTTCCACATCATTGCCTCCTCCAAACTAAATACACAGGTCAACTCACACACCCGAGAGACTCCATTGCCACTGCTAATGCTTATTTTTAGCTTTTTGATATGGTAATATATGTAATAGATACACAGAATCCTCCACATGGAATCTCTGCCCACGTTCCTACTGTATAACACTCAAAAAATTGAAAGCAGTTGTGGTATATAGGAGTCCTTTGGCTGGAGAATGCAACTGTTCATCTTAAAAGATAATTGCTTTATAATTGAGGGTATCCCATCAACTCAGAGATATAGCAATGTGCACAGTCAGTGTAGTTTCCAGTAAAAATCTTCTCCTAGTTTGTTAGGAAAACACGCTTGTTTTTACAGACAAATGTGCAATATATACCTCATATATATGCTAATGTGGGTTCAGTATTTTGATAATGTGCTCATATTGTGGGACAGCCTGGAGGTTTTTTTCATGAGTCTGTTAGTTTACAAGATTTCTTTATAGGTAAAACAGGAAGAAACTCTTTAACCGCTTCCTGACCGCCCTATAGCAGGAATACTGCTACAGGGCGGCACAGGTGTGCAAAATCACATATATACGTGATTTTGCATTTCCGGGTAGGGGGCGCAGCCAGGTCCTTGCCGTTGATCACTCGCCAGAGCCAGGTGATTACCAAGGATCTCCGACGGGGAGGAGAACTGTTTTGTTTACTAACAGTTCTCCTCCCTGTCAGCTTGGGCACACTGCTTTGGATGGCTCTGCACAGCACAGCCATCCAAAGCAGTGTGCTTACAGTGAAGCAGCAGACACCACCTACTAGTGATACACTCCCTGCACATAATTAACCCTTTGATCGGCCCTCATGTTAACCCCTTCCTGCCCAATGCTAGTAGTACAGTGTCAGAGCTTTGTTTTAGCACTGATCGCTGTATTGGTGTCACTGGGAATGTCAGTGACACCAAGTCAGTTCCCGCCAGTGTCAGAATGTCTGCTGTAGTCTGGCTATAAGTCACTGATTGCCGCCATTACTAGTAAAAATAAACAAATCCCAGTATATATACTGCCATTTGTAAACGCTATAATATTCACGTAAATTAATTTACATGTATTGGGATTTTTTTTCAGCAAAGACATGTAGCAGAATACATTCTGGCCTACATTTATGATAAAATTTGTATTTTTTACATTTTTTTACTGGACATGTTTAATAGCAAAAAGTCAAACATATTGTTTTTTCTCAAAATTGTTAGACTTTTTTTTTATAGTACAAAAAATAAAAAACGCACAGGTGATAAAATACCACTGAAAGAAAGCTCAATTTGTGGTAAAAAAAAGACATACATTTCATTTGGGTGCAGCGTTGCACGACCGCGCAATTGTTAGTTAAAATAACGCAAGAAATGGCCTTGTCAGGAAAGGGGGTAAATCCTCTGGAGGGCAAGTGGTTAAAATTCGTGAATCTAGAGATTAGTGATGTGTGAATCTATTTGAGTTTGATTAGAGGGCTAGTTCAGTGAACAAAATTCCATAAATTGTGAATTTTAATAAAAACCCCATTCAAGTCAATGGTAAAATCAATATTAACAGGAAAGATCTCCGATGGAACTTTAATGTAGAAATGCACAATGTCTATTATAAAATCATATATTTTTAGTTGTACAATACATAAAATATAACTGTGTGTACATGTTCTTTAGACATTTAACATCAAAAAGCATTACAAAAAGTGACACATAACCACTGAAATAGGGCAGAAGAGTATAGTGAATTCCATTCTGCTGATGAATCTTAATGCGTTCCAATTGATCTCCACAGTCTTCATTGGGGTCACATGGGTAATTCTACAGTAATAAACAACATACAATAATAACAGAACGTACACTAATATGATCAATATCCAAAACAATGAATGTGATATTGTTTGTAATACAAAATATCAGTCAATTTACAGAATCACCCAGAATGTTTTCTAGGAAGCAATGTCCTACCAAGCGATATCTGCTGGGCCAAACATCCCCACAGTCAAGCCCACAAGGGGTCACTGAAGTTGACCGCAAGAGGTCCCAGTCTGAAAACCCCCACAGTTAAAATCAATAACTTTTTAACTGACGATGCCATACTTGACAAATCTGTCAGCAAACCTTCACCTATTACATTCAGGAGAGCTACTTCCTTGAAAGATAGATTAATTCAAAGTGAGTTTAGGGGAGACAATCATCAGGACCCTTGTCACTATTTGGGAACA